TAGCACATGATGTAAAACAGAGTACAAGGTTATCAACAATGGTTATCAACGATGTCTCTTGTTTCTTTAAAAAGAATTGTCTATCTCATTAGATATTATAAAGTTGAACAAAACAGTAGAGAACAAGACCAATAAAACTTAGGCATTGTAAACATTACAGGACTTCCAAAGGAGACAATAGTCAAACCAGCATGGGCATCTTAGTGAATCTTATTGCCTTCAAAGTAGTTGCCTATACCCTCAAACTTGATACTATCACACAGAATGGAACAGAGTCTAATCAGTCAAAACAAGATCGTGGGAGTACTCCCGCAATTGATGAATTGACAAATAGCAAAAACAATTAATACTATAATTCAACTCAAGAATGTGTTCATCACTTGATCAAGTGCTTCCAAATTTCTTCTGTGCATTGGATACTTTTGAAGATGAGAAAGATGCAGTGACAAAGATGATTGACAAAAATACTCAGTACCTTTGGGTTTATTTTGGGGTTCCATATGATTTGGAGCACAACCTTCATGAGCCAATGAAGTGGTGTGAGTGACCATTAAGGAGTATATGAAGAGAGGGAACCCTGGTACAAAGATGATCAGAGTGGGAATACCCAGCACACACTGGGTCCAGCACGGAGCCAGTAACACGAATTCAACAAATTTGAGTGAAATAATGAATGACTACATTAGGAAAACTATAAATGAAAGGATAAGAAAGCAATATACCACCATCTTGCTCCCAAGAATTGTACTTTACTAAGGAAACAAGAAAAGTAAGCAAATAAAGAAAAACAAACAAAAACTAAACTCATTTCAAATTAGGATAAGTACTTTTTAATGTGTCAACTAGTGTGCTACTATAGAAGTGATGGTAGAATGAGTTCTCTGAGTAGTTAATATTTGCAGTGAATTATGTGGATAAAAAAAAAACCAACAATGCCTATTATATATCACAGTAGAGAAGTTAAGTAGAAGATCAAAGCTGTGAGTCTGGTTCTGAGGGTGAAAAGCAGAGTTATAAATTTCAGATTCAGCATAACTAGCTCTGCTTAAATCATGCATGCATATCTACCCAGGGGGAAAATATTGCTAAAGAAGAAAACAGGGTTCAAGACCAATCTCTAGAAGATTGCAACATGTTGTGTAGGGAGAGAAAACTTGCCAGCAAAGGCAAATGTTTCATAGGGAAAGTTACAAGGATCAGAAGACTTAAAAGTCTAAGATGAAAGAACTTCATTAACTGTGCAGTTACAACAGAAATTAAAATGACAACAGAGATGTTTTCGCTTAGATTTGGCAGTAGAGAAATTGGAATACTTATGGTAAATTCAATGGCGAACTGAGAGAGCAAATAAAAACAGAGAAATTTGAAGAGTAAATACCAAATAATGGATGATATTATGGTTTAGAACCAGAATACTCCTCCCCATAAGGGGCGGGTTCAGAGGTGGGGCTTTGGAAGGTCATTAGGTCATGGGAGAATTGCACTCATCATTAGGTTAATCCAATGATGAATCCATAGCTAAATGTGCTGTTAGTAGATTGCTTGTTCAGAAGAAGCCTGTCACTGGGGGAGTGATCTGGAAGGACACATGTCCCTCCTCAGCTTCTCTCTGATCCTTCTTTCTGACCAACACAACATGAGCCTTCCTCGTTATGCTCCTCTGTCATGTCATTTCTTTCATGGAGCTGGGCAATTGTGGACTCAAACTTCTGAAATTTAGCCAAAATAAATCTGTCCTTCCAATGCGGTATTGGGTATTGTTTCCTAGCTATAGGAAAGTGGCTAAGACTGATGAGTCTACTAAGTGTAGAAAATGTTTTAGAAAGGGCTCCAAGAAGAGATAAATAGGTGGAGTGATAGGTACAGAAGGACAGAAATTGAAGGAAGAGTTCACTGATGATGCAAGAGGGAGGAGATAGTGTGTGCAGGCAAATCAGAGAACAAGGGATCCAGTGGCCAGGTGAGGAGTTAATACTCATACACAATAGGGTATGTCCTAATTGAAGAGAAGGAAAGAAATTACATGAATATAGTAAATGACTTATATAATTCATAAAAAAAAAGTAGAAGTAGTGTATTGCTTAGTGAATGGGAACTGAGGACAAAGAATAGATAAGAAAAAAATTGGAGGTTTTATGGTAACTTATTTGATAAGGAAATATAATAATGGTGAAATGTATAATAGTTGCTAGGTAGTGCCATTTTGAAAATGGAGGAATTTAAAGTGAGTTGAAACAGTACTCCATTGTGTTCGCATGTTGGGTGCCAGGTACAGAATGGATTTGCACTTTGGATCTGAGCTGTGCTTTGTCTAGTATATTCCAAGGACAGAGGAAAAATAAAAAAAGAAACTGTTAATTCAAAAGTATGTTTGTCATGATGGAACCCAGATCTACAACTGAGTAAGGAAGTGAGAATATCAATTAATCTGAACTGGTGAAAAATTGATAGTAACTTTCTGGTTGAAGAACTTCAGTAAGTCTCAGACAAGCATAATAAATCTTACAATGTGATTACAAGATCTTATGAATTTGAAAACAGAACTTTTCAACACACTCAAGAAAACATAAGACTCAAATATGAACAGATTTTTAATAAACATAAATTTTTTACTATTTCACAGAAATTTGCTGATACTAGTAGCAATAATACTAGGACACTACTTGTGTTTGCAGCTTTTAACATTGTTTTAACATTCCAATGAAGAAACCAGGAATTGTATAACTCTAGATCAAATCAGAGATAAAGCTTATCCTAGTGAGTAACAGTTATATCAGAAAAAGACATGATATTGAACATGTTTAGAAGATAGTGGTTATAAAATAGGGCTTGTTTTAAACCTTTCTTCTTTTTAAATACTAGCATTTAAGAATATATGCTATTTTACATGCAGCGTATATATTTTGATATGTTTAATTTAATTTAATTAAAATGCTTTTTCACTTATCTTGGGATTTCTTCTTCAATCTGTGATTATTTAGATGTGTGTGGCTTAATTTCTAAATATCTGGAGCCTTTGTACGTCACTTGTATTTCTTAACTCCTGATTTAACTCTTCCCATCATATAACATATTCTATAAGGTTTGTTATCTTAAAAATATGCTGTCATATAGTTCGGCTGCAGAACAGGAGCAGTAAAAATTTACTTGTAAAAACTTGATGAAGCCAGTGAGTGAATGTTGTATAAGAATAACAATAATTAAAAGCAACTACCACTCATTTATTGAGTAGCTAGGCTAAGTAGTTAGCATTTCTTTCTCTATCACAACCTTAAGGAGGATTTTAAGACTCCTCATGTTTCAGATAAAGATACTGAAACTTAGATTACTTCCACAATGCTCACTGTTTCATTAAGCATGGAGTTGTTTGAATTTCAAACCCTTTGTCTTTGATTTCAGAACTTGCAGACTAAACCACTCCTCTAGATTTAAAACCCTCTTAAGTGATTGATTACAACCTCATACATACTCAGGACACATTGAATGGCTTAAAATAAGTCAATCTCTTCATTACATACAAAATCTTGAAAATTTACCTTTATTGAAGTGTGAATGACTACAAAGGAAGAAGATCAGAAACAATTTTGCTGAGTTTTAGAGGTAGCACTTTGCAAAGACATTCTAATTATCCACTAGTTTATCACTGTTCCATTGGTTCAAGATTTTCCTTGACTAGTGGCAAGCAGAGCCAAAGCAGTAATAAAGAAGGTGCTTGGAAATCCAGCTAGATAATTCTTAAATTCTTAAATTTAACAGAATCATCTAACAATGTAAAATCTTGTAACTCTCTTTGCCATTATTGCTCTCTGTTTCACCCATAATACATTATAAAACACTACTCACATCACATAGGGACTTTTGTCTTTACCTTCAGTGACCAATAGCAATGTCTTCATTTTTAGCTGGTTTCAGATTAGAGTGCAACAGAGCAATTATCTGCGTATTTTAAGGATCGGACATAAATGATTCATTGAAGGTAGGCTAAGTGCCAGTCACTAAGGCTGGACGGATTTGGCGTAAAGCCTTTAGTAACTATGTTTATATGATATCAGCATAGATGCCCAGTCTCTTGTACATTAGGAAGTAAATTCACACAGCATATTTTTGCCAAATAAAACATTTATGAAACGTTTTGTGTACATGAGAATAGGTCTGATCACAGGATACTCTGGGTCCCTGCTTCAAGCCAAATAACTACAAAATGCATATAGATCTTTTTGTTCTTAACATTATTTTATATATTCAGTGATAATTTCATATTATTCTTTTTAGAAAGTTTTCTTGAATAGTTGGTATTTACAGTTACTACTTTCTGAAATGATATAAAATGTATAAAATAACTGAGGTTGAGAATTGACCATCTAAGACTTTGAAATTTGTGTTCATCATTTCCTATTTATATAGTTTGAACAAATTTCTTAAGCAGTCTTTTTCATTTTTCATGGAAATTTCAGGGATAATAAAGATATTTTCTTATGGGGCCGGGGATTTAGCTCAGTGGCATAAGCGCCTGCCTTGCAAGCAGGCAGTCATGAGTTCAATCCCTGGTACCGATTAAAAAAAAAAAAGATACTATCTTAGAAATCTTTGTGAGCTGTATAAGAGATATATATATGCAAATAAATACACACTGTCTCAGTCATGGTTTATTAGCAAAATATATATAAAACACAAGATACACTGAAGAGTTAAAACATTTAGGAAACCCCTCTTGCCTTGTCACGTAGTCAGAACAACCAGATGTTCTGGCCTGATAGGGAAGTTGTGGTCCAACGTCCCCAAAAATAAGAGCACCGTGAACTATTCGACCCTGCCAGACAGGATATGAGTTTTCAAAAACATCAAGCCACCTGCAGCGGATAGCTCACCCACCAATAAGCAAATGACACGACCCCTATTAACCAATGCCATCTGCTTCTGTAACCGATGCTTGCTTTGCGGTTTTCGGCTTTATATACTCTGCACTCCCCAACCTGGGCACTCTCTCCACAGGAGTGTGGTCGGGGAGTCCCATGCGTGCGTGGATAATAAAACCCCTTGATTTTTCATGAGGGCTGGTTCCTTGGGATCTTCTTCGTGATGGTGATCTTACATTTGGAGGCCCCAGCGATATCCACTCCCTCGCCGAAGCAGGCCCCAATGGCCACAAAGTGCCTCTCGGGGTAAGTACGGCCGTTCTGTTTAGTTTCATTTTGTGATCGATCATTTGCCTTGACTGCCTGGATCGATTTGGTCTAAAACTCGTGGTCCAAAAACAGGGCAGTTTTTTTGGGGGACGCCCCAAAGGGGTTTGGGAGTCCATTTGTCCCTCAGACTCCCAGTTTGTCAGGAGGGGTCTCTCGTTCCCCCCCATTGGCAGTGGATTCACCAATCCTGTGTGAGTGTGGCCAGCCAAAATGTGTGATGTATGTCATATTACCTAATTGTGTCCTTTTGTTGGCGTCTTTTGTTTGTCCCATCATGGGACAAAGTGTCTCAACCCTTCTTTCCCTTACTCTAGACCATTGGTCGAAAGTAAGGGAACTGTGATAACCTAAGTCCCCCTAACTATTGTGCCATAAAGCCTGTTCTGTATAAGCCCACCTGCTGCTTTCCCTCCTCTTCCCCCTTCAAATCTAACTAGGTTAAGTTTTAACTTCCTAAAAGGCCATAAAACGAAGGCCTGAGGTAATAGCTCCTGACAAACTCCCTTCTGTACTCGGTAGCCCGTCACAAATTGTGTTAATTGCATTAGATTGTAATAGCTTCATTTGTATCATAGCAATACCTGTGTGTTCCTTTCCCTCTGGGTAAAGGATTGATATGTTAATTAATGGTCTCCTGTGTAAAGAATTGTAAAATCTTACCTAATTGATATGTTAACCATTGTTGCCCTCTACAAATAACAGTTGTAAAAGGTGCTAAAGTAAGGTAACTAAGATTGTTAATTGCCGTTTCTACATTGTAGTGTGTCACACCCCCATCCCCTTCCTTATATTGTGTGACCAACAGCTGTTTGTGGATTTACAAGATAAAAGCCCTGACTTTTAGCTGTCAGGTGTGCAGTCTTTGGGTTGACCCTAGAGAGACTGTGTCACCAGGCCTGGAAATAAAGCCTTTGCTTCCAAATTTTAATGTCTTGCTTCCTTGAATTTCATACCGGGGTCCGAGTTATCGCATTTGGGGGCTCGATCTGGGATGGGAGCAAGATCCCAGACTCATTTCTGAACATCTAAAAGTAAGTACTCTGGAGGGTTTGTTTGGGCCATGGTCAATTTGTAATTTGGAAGGGGACGCCCTTAATTTGGGGAGTGAAACTTCCTGAGGACAGAGTCAATTGGTTTTTGCCATTTGTGACTCTGCCCCAGGTGGGGAACCGCTCCGTTGGTTAATTTGTTAATTCCTCCAGATCCCAAAATTTGACTAATTTTTGATCAAAGGCCATTTTGCTGCAGCTTGTCTTGTCTTATACGTCTGTTTGTGTGTTCATCTGTTCTAATTGTTCTCCTTTTGGTTACCCCAAATCTAACAGACCATTCAATCCTAGGAACCCCTTCTATGAGCCCAAAACGGACTAAGGGATTTAGATACTTATGTTCAGAGTTTTTGTACTTTAGAATTGTTTGCCTGTTTAAATTTGTTGCTAACTTAGGGGCTTGTTGCCCATTTCTGTTGCAGGATCCATATAGCTTATTAGATTCAAGGTTCATAATAATTATTTCCTTTATCTCACCAAACTATGCACGAAGCACCCTTTGTTTGTGTCTTTAATGTTGTGGTGCCTTGTTTAATATGTAAGTCTTCAATTGATTGCTTGCAACCTCGGCATGCCTTTTAAAAGGAGTTTTTTTCTTTCTGGTTAAAATGTAAACATATGTGCACATATACATGTATATTTATGGTTTTTAAGAATCATATCAACTTTACCAAGTAAAAACCAGGTCGTACTATATTTGAGCCAGTTAAAAGGTTACAGTTTTGTTTTTAACAATACAGCATTTTTATGTAGTAAAAAGACATAAAGTAATTATGTTTTAGACTACTAAAAGGTGACTTCAAGGGTTTTGTTAAGAGTTTTGATGTTGTCTGAGAAGCGAGAGGAAAGGTAATTGACTGGAAATAGTAAAAAGAGGGACAAAAATGTGTTTTGTCTTCAAGTAAAAATGTCTGGCTGTGCCAGAATGTGAAAAAAGATAAAAGCTTAACTTGGGGGGTATATTGTAAGTTGTAAAAGGCTCAAGAAGATGTTAATTTTATTTGTCTTGGTTTATAGTACTGCAAATAACAGGTTTGACAAGAAGTAAATGTGTTCAGAGTTTGACAGTATTAGATCAGTTTTGGGAGAAGTATTCATAAGATTGTACTTTGCTGCAAAATGTTTCCATTAAAATGAGATTATAGGTGATACTAGAGATAAGATACAAGTTCTTGCATGTGCTATAAACATCTGGGAGATTATGCAGCACAATTTTGTTACCTATGAAAAAGCCCTTTTTTGTTAAGAATATAATTTCAGTAAAATGATGGCCTGCCACGTGACATCCTGGAAAAAAAAAAAGCGGTGTGCCATCCAAATGAAGCCGGCTTCTGATCCGGAATGCCAAAACCATGTTCTCCTTTTGTCCCACCCCGATTGGACATCCAGAGGTAAGGAGGTTTCCCAGTATCGCCAGTTGTTCTCTTTGCAACTCAGTCAGCCCCACATGTTAGACAAAAATTGCAATGGTTTGAGAGGTTTGAGGGAATGCCCTTCAGCCAGTTAATAGAGATAGCACAAAAGGTCTTTGAGAACTAGAAAATTTACAAAAATCTACCAACAAAAAGATAACCAAGGTGTTAGAATTGCTCTATGAGAGAAAATTTTTAAGAAACAGACGAGAGTTTCTGGGGCATTTGGATGCTCTAGGCTAAATTTTACTGAAAATCTCACCTCTATATGACTCCTGTAAGGGAAAAACTCAAAACACTGAACTGGACTGATAAATGTGAACAGGCCTTCCAGCAGCTCAAGCGGGCCTTGATAGAGGCCCCAGCCCTGGGGCTCCCTGATGTTACCAAGGCGTTCACCTTGCTCATAGACAAACTCAGGGGCATTGCCAAAAGAGTCCTAACCCAGGACATTGGCCCTTGGAAGAGGCCTATAGCCTACCTCTCCAAAAGACTTGATCCAGTGACAGGAGTATGGCCCCCTTGCCTAAGAATAGTAGCTGCTGTGACAATGTTACTTACGGAAGCGAAGAAACTCACTTTGGGCAAGTGATTTCTGTGGTAACCTCTCACAGTTTAGAGACTCTTATCAAAATCCCTCCTGGAAAAAAAAAAAGGCTTTCAAACGCCAGAATTCTACACTGTCAAGCCCTGCTTCTAGACCCAGAGTCAATGATATTCAAGACTTCTTCAGCTTTAAACCCAGACACCCTTATGCCTGATTATGACCTGGAGGAACAAAGGACACCTCTCCATGAGTGTGCTGACATCCTTGAACTGCAGCAGAACCTACGGGCTGATCTTACCAACCAGCTTTTGGGAAATACTGACAACTATTTCATTGATGGAAGCAGCTTCATCCAGAATGGCAAACGAGTGGCTGGGGCAACAGTGACCGAAAAGGAGGTACTCTGGGATAAGCGGGTAGAGCCTGGCACCTCTGCCCAAAAGGCGGAGCTTGTTGCTTTGACTGAGAGGCTTAAACTAGCCACGTAAAGGAGGGTAAACATTTTAACTAACAGTAGATATGCTTTTGCTACTGTACATGTACGTAGAGCCATCTATCAGAGCAAGGTCTCTTAACCTCAGCTGGGACTAAGATTAAAAATGCTCCACAGATTCTAGACTTTCTGACAGATGTCTGGCTGCCTCAACGAGTTGCTATTATTCATTACAAGTCTCCTACTAAGATGACACTGTCACCTTGGGGAACAGTTTGGCAGATCAAGCCACTCAAAAAATAGCAACCACATCAGAGGGACCAACCAAGAAAGTAACTGTTCTGATGCTAGTCCCTCTGACATTGTCAGAACCAGTCTACACAAAGAAAGACCTACAGTTAGCATCTCAACTTGGAGTAAAGTCTCCCAACCCCGGGGGCTGATACCAGTTACCTGATAAACAAGTACTGTTACTGGAGGCACTAGAGTTGGAGCTGTTACACCGGGCTCACCAGACTACTTGTTTAGAGAAAACTAAACTTGTGGAATTGTTCAGAACTCGGTTTTTTATTCCAAAACTCTGCAAACTGACCACCTCTTTGAGCTCCAGATGCCCACAGTGATTGTTAGTCAACTCAGCCAAGAGCTCTATGCTGGAGACCACCAAACATTAAAAAATTGTTCTAGGAGAACATTAAAAAGTAGACTTCATGGCATAGTAAAGCCTGATTTACAGGGGTACTGCTATCTCTTGGTATTAATAAACACTTTTACTGGCTGGGTAGAGGCTTTCCCTACTAAGTCTGAGTCAGCCTTAGTGGTAGTTAAAAGGCTATTGCATGAGATCATATCTTGATTTGGCCTCCCACTATCAATGGGGTCCGATAATGGCCTGGCTTTCATAGCCCGAGTCACCCAAAAGTTAGCTCAGGCATTAAAGATTAATTAAAACTCCACTGTGCCTATCAGCCACAAAGCTCAGGGCAAGTAGAACGTATAAACCAAAGTCTCAAGGACATTTTAGCTAAGCTGTCTTCAAAAACTGGCGATAATTGGGTGAGCCTTCTTCCCTTTGCACTAAGATCTAGATGTACCCCATATGTTTCTTGAATTTCCCCTATTGAAGCCACGTTGGGAGGCTCCTGCCATTGGTTCCAAGATTGCCAGAAAATAAACTAGCTAAAACAACTAATCAAGATCTTACTAAGTCCCTGCAGACTCTCCAACCTGTTTGGCTTCAATCCACCAGCTGTTTAGACTAGACAAAAACACCCGGATCTGCCTTCAGAGACACCTCTCAAGGTGCCTATCAAGCCAGGGACTCCAGTCTTGGTGCAATGTCACCACCGTGACTCCCTCAAACCCTGCTGGGAAGGACCTTTCACCGTGGTGCTCAGTACCCCCACTGCCATCAAGGTAGCAGAAAAAACCTGTGTGGATTCACTACACTCACGTAAAGCCACTGGAAACAGCGGACAAGGAGGGACATAATCAGTGGACTACACAGCAGACTGGTAACCCCTTAAAGTTAAAAT